CTTTCTCGTGTCATTAATGAGGGGCTCTCAGAATTCGAGAGTCCACGTGCTCCGTTTGTCACAAGACAACGCTGGCTGGCACCTTGTTATTACGTAACATCGAAGCGCCTCGCGCGACACGTGTTCGAGCGGCTCCTTGGGAACCGTGAAAGTGGTGGGCGCATTCCATTTGTGTGAATCAGTTAAATTCAGCTCTTTCGTAATCGAGATCGGAAATAGCCGGCGCGGTTACGAAGGATCGATCGCGAAAATTTAACGGCGACCATTTTTTCTATAAATTTTGTAGTCAACCAATTTAATTGAAACTGCGTTCACATCGCGTGTGTATAATTACAATTTCTTACACATCAACACGCAAGCATTCAAGCAATTATTTTCACTGAAATTGTGTTGTGTTTTGTGTGTGTGTGTGTGTGTGTGTGTGTGTGTGTGTGTGTGTGTGTTTGTGTGTGTAGTTTATAAAAAAAGGTAATGAGATAATTTTAGTTTTTTAATTTTTTGTTTCAGTTTTACCAAGAATTACATCTCTTTGACGCGCTCGCTGTTGATTATTTAATTTGTAGCGTCATGCATCAGTTATCAGCTTATATCGCTTCAAACGATACAAAAATTAGTTAATTGCTTTTTACGTGTATTAAACATTTCTGAAAAAAATTAGAAAAAACTAAAACGTATTCATTATAAACGTTTACCCGGGAAAAAAGTTTCACATATAATTATATATAATTATATGCAAAATATGTTCATATATGTTTCTTTTGTTTGTAAAATTATTCTTTAATACAAAATTGATACTAATAAAAAGGAAACACAAAAAATAATTAAAAGAGTAATTTTTGCATTGTTTTTTTTTACAAAAAATCAAGTTTGAAGAAATGAGAAAAATTGTTCATACATAATTACATATGTATATTTTTAATCATTTATATATGATTATATATGAGCAATTTTTCTCATTTTTTCACTTTATTTTTTGTAAAAAAAATAATGTAAAAATTATTCTTTTAATTATTTTTTATGTTTCCTTCTTATTAGTATCAATTTTGTATTAAAGAATAATTTTATAAAGGAAAGAAACATATATGGACATATATAATTATATGTGGAAATTTTTTTCCCGGAAATTTCTATTCACAATACCATTTTTATCCGACAATGAGAGTTAAGTAATTGCGTCAGTGGCTAAATAAAAGTTCGATCGTTCCCGAAGTCCGTTCCTATTATTTTCGCTTCATTCTCCGTTTCGGTTTTTTTTTCATTCCGATCGTGTCAATATCGCGTAACGTTACGAGAATTTATTTTGCGTATATCCTCGATGTACGATTCGAGCGACGTACGGCGATTTGTCGGCGCGTCGAAGCGTATAGTAGTGTTTACATCACGATGAGAAGTTGTTAATGAGGCAGGATCCAGTCATAAAGTGGGGATGACTTCTCGCGCCGGAAGTTTAGCCTTTAGCTATTAGCACTCGCCGACAATCGTGTTTCCGTTATATTCATGCTCATCTGCTGCTCGTCGAGAGAGCCGCACGCGAGAGATATATATGTTGATACATGTTCAGAGGCGTGCCAGTTACATATCGGATACCAAATCGCGAGAATGTCCTCACTGCCGCTATGGATCTCCTGGTGTCTCCTCGCAGGTATCGTTTGCGAACAGTAGAAAAAAAACGAGTTTTAGACGTTTTTTAACAGTCTTTAAGGGTTAGAAATGTTAGAATATCTGCTTGGAATTTACAATTAGGCATATTCTGATCTTAATTAAGCATTCATCACCTGGGGGCTTCATAGTAGCATTTATGTAATATCATTGAAAAATCTATCGATAAATATGATTTAATCTTCGGATCTTTACGCAATTTTTTCGTATGCTTATCGACTTCGAGATTATCATCGTCGTCTCGCGGTATTTTGCTCTTCTGACGGTGTCTCGTTTGCATTCGTAACAGATCGAGTGATGTGTAAATATTCAATAATATCTCAAACCTCGTCTACGCTCCATAACGTAAGTCAAAATTGCTCATAACTATCAGGCCGCATTTTTTACGATTACATCATCGCTTGCAAGGTGAAGCAACGCTCGTTAAAGTCACTTGGCGTCCCTCACGATTAGTTATCCGGCATTATCATCCTTGACTATCTTCGCCGTTATTTCGTTCAGATGTATAAATGGGCTTCTTATCGCTCGTTGTTAGTCAGTTCGACAGGAGAAGGAAAAATTATTCTCGATACGCCAAGTTACGTGACGATTGTTTAGTCATTCCTGCACGTCTGTATTTCTCATACAACTATTCCAGAGCCGTTTTCCACTCGCTCTCGGAATTTACGTGCGACTAATCAGTGCAGCGCGAGATCGATTATGGATGTCCGTCCGCGGTTAAACGTAATCAGAGTAATAAATCGCGTTCATGTGCCATTAATGTCAATTCCTACACGGAAAGAACAATTTTGCTGAATCCAGATCTGAAAATAATTTTTGTTCAATAATCAAAATTATTTTGTGCAAAAGTCAAAATGATTGCTAGAATATCAAAACGTTTTATAGCAATACTTATCAGTTTTAACATTCCAACAAATTATTTTTATGATTCAATAAAAAATTATTTTCAGATCTGTTTTTAGCAAAATTTTTAGGTCTTTCAACAAAATCGTTCTTTCCGTGTACTAATGTAAATTAACTTTTTTTTTTATTTTATTTTTTTTATTTTTTATTTATTTTTTATCTTTTTCTAATTCTTAGAACTAGAAAAAGATACAAAATAAGTTAAACCAAGATTAAAGTTAAACATTGGGGCATTATAACCATTTCTACATTGGTAGAAATGGCTATAAAAACGCGATGATAAGGAATGCGTATCGAACAACAAAAATAAAATTAACGATTTTATTTTATAAATCATGTACTGTATTTATTAATGTAAAACATTTCCAACAGTTCCAGCTGCATTTAGTACCGAGGATCGATACTCGTTTTTCAACATTCATCTCCTGCAGGTGAGGAAAGTTTTTAGAGAAATACAAACGAAGGAAAAGACATAAGACGTAACTCCGCATTATAGTTTCGAAAAAAAAGAATTAAAGGAATTGAGGCAAAAAAGTAAAAATATTATAGATTTGAATTTTTTAAAATTATAGGAATTAATTTCTTAGTTTAAGGAAGTTTTTATTTTTAAATGCCCAATAAAAAAGACTTAATAAAAAAATTATTTAATAAAAAAAGAGTTATTTTTGAGAATTTTTTTTTTTTAATCTATGCGACAGATTTTTATAGACTTTTATAAGTTTATTGAATATTATATTAAATTATCTTCAGTAAAATTTCGATATAAATATGTTCATTAATTTTAAAATTATTAGTATTCAAACTTGATATGTAAGATATCTCAGCTTTGGATGATCTGAAATAGAAATCCCAAGAAATTTTTATTTATAAATAGTTGAAGAAAAGCATAAATCTCGAAAAATTAAAATCGTTAATATATAATAACTGGATTTTTTGCATCAAAATTTTTAATAGATAAAAAAATTAATTTTTAGAGTTTCAGAAAATCCTAGGTTTATGTTTTCTTTCAGTTAATATAAACATAAATGAAAATTTCTTTAAATTTCTGTTTCAAATCATTCAGATACCATTAAGATATCATGCACCACATGCTTTAATACGCTGAAAACTTTGAAATTAATGAATATATCTATACCAAATTTTTATTAAATTTAATTCTACAACTGATGAAAAATTTTTATATTTTACAATATTTTTAAGAATATTTTATAGTCTAAATTTATGTAAATTGTTAAAAAAATACTTATTTGAATACTTTTCAAATTTTATAAACTTTCTTCAAAAATTATAGAATAAAATTTTTTAAAAATATCTTAAAATATTTCAAAATTTATATATATAAAGCATTTTAGAAAAAGTGTTTACTTTTTCAGCGCTTTTGAAAAGTGTTTTACTTCATATAAAAGAAATCTGAAAAATTTTCTGAAAAATTATAAAATTATACAGAAATTCTGAAAAATTCTGGAATTTATATAGCAAAAATTTATACTGAAAAATTATATAAAGAATTCTAAGAAAAATTTTTATTAGAGAATATTTATAATAAACTTTACAAAAGAGTCTCTAAAAATCCGCCGCATAATTTAAAAAAAAATTGTTGAAAATAGCCTTTTTTATTAGATTTTCAAAGGTAAAAATAAAAAGAAAATAAATCCTTTTGATTAAATCCTTAACGTTTTTATATTTCGATCTTATTCAATCTTATATTTCAATTTCTATAATGAAAAATAATTTTCTTGTCCATTTAAAGTACATTTAAATAGTTTTTGTTCTTTTTCATGAAAATTTCGTGATGATGGCCATAGAGAGTAAGCGAGACCGTCGAGGGTAATCTGATACTATCTCCCGCCAGCGTGAAAATCGCCCTTACGAGTCTGGTGGAGGGCACGGGTGGTCAAACACGTCACGAGCTTCTTGCAGCCCTAAGATTACCGCCAGATGAATATATCATCAGGAGAATAGCGAGACGCGCTCTTACATCCCTAAAAGTATTTTAGATATATCCTTATTGATTTTAATTAAATCAAACGCATAATTGAAAATCGGTATAATTTCGATACTATAAATATGTGACATATGGCAACAGAATAAATTGATTTTGAATTAACATAGAAAATTCGTCGGACTTATCGATCGCGCAATGCAATCGCCTCTTTCCGTTAGAAACTTGCTTGACTTTCCTCTTCACGTTATTTTCGCATTATTTCTCAGAGTCAACAAAATGGCACGGAAATCGACGTAGCAACTCGTTTGTGGACCAATCCGTCTCTCGCGGTATCTACTAATTATATGACCGCCTTGCGTAATTATTACGGAGCCGATGTCCAACAGCTGAATTTCGGAAATGCAAACGACGCAGCCAACATCATCAACTCGTGGGTTCGCGAGAACACGCGGAATAACATCAAGTCGATTATCCAGCCAGGTATTTAACTTAAGTTGTATTAAGTATAGCGGAAGATACTTTCCCTTTCTAAGCACAAGTAATTTTGAGTCTCCGAATTTCTGAGAAAATTGAAGAAACGCTTTTTTCAGATTTGAAATTACGAATGTTCTTTCAGTTTAGAGGCATTTTATTAATGGTGTTCCAGGCACTCTTAGCGCCGATACCCAGATAGTGTTAACTTCGGCCTTGTACTTCAAGGGACGATGGTTGAAAGCTTTCGACAGGGACGCCACGCGTGTACGGTGCTTCCGTGTTCCTCAGAGCGGCTGCCAAGATGTTTTTATGATGGAGAACGCTTCCAAGTATCGATATGGCTATATAGCTTCTCTTGACGCTGATGTAGTGGAAATCCCGTACTCGGTAAGCTTTGAATCTTACGTCATTTGTAAATTAACACGAAGACTTCAATGCTTTCACGCAACGTATATATAGTTATCTAATGTACATCTATTTTTAAACGCAAAATGTCTCGCAATATCTACTAAATCTTTCTAAAAATTCATTTTGAAATATTTTCGAAACTTAATTTATATTTATGTAATATTATAATATAATAAACTTATATATATATATATATATATATATATTTAATATATTTTATTATATTATTTATTACATAATAAATGTATTTAATGTTTCACATTTTTTATTTTAATTTATTCTAGAGGGAGTATATTTTAGTTTTTCAATGTTTCTTTTTAATAAATGTGTCGAAAATTAGACAAAATTAAACAAAATTTTCAAAAATGTTCATTATAAACTGGCTCATAAAATTAATATTTCAGAATGGCAGAACGTCTATGTTAGTATTCCTCCCATCTCATGAAGAGAGCGATCCGCATCTTCACATTCTGTCTAATGATCTGTCATATGCACCGATGAGAACGCTGCTGACTAGTCTTAACGAAACTGATCTGATACTTGGTATTCCGCGATTTAGCATCGAGAGCAAATTGGATTTGCATTCACCTTTGACGCACGTAAGTATTAATTACGGTTAATTATATTTAATATAAATTATATATTTAATATTATCATTTATTAAAATATAATATAAATAACTTTTGTTTGTACTTTGTGATCAAATTATAGTTGTCTTTATTATAATTATTAATTGCAGCTATTAGTAGCAACAATTATGCAATTTTTCTAAATTACATAATTATTTTTTATTATTGTAGATATTGTTAGTGTCACTACAAGATAAAGCATTTAAATTAAGACACATGAATATTTTGAAAAGAAAAACATTTTAGAAAAAAATATTCTATCATCTGAATTAAGAAAAACAAATAATGATAAAATCAATTTTTGAAAAAATCGATTTTTTTAAGATCACATAAAGGTCACATCACTATTCTTTTTAATGGGATTGTATAATTTGTTTTTTATTTAGATAATATAATTTTTCTAGTTATTATACGTATAAAAGTATAAAAAAATAATTGTCAAAAATTAATAGTTTACAAGATATTTTATACTCTAGCTTATTTTATAACATGTAATATAAAGTATTTTGTAAACTATTAATTTTTTGATAATTTTTTAACACTTTTATATGTAAAATAACTAAAAGAATTATATTATTTGAAAAATTATACAAATTTATTTAAATTATATTTAAAAACCTTTATGTGATCTTAAAAAATCAACTTTTTGAAAATTGATTTTACCATTACTTGTTCCCTTTTACGGTATAATATTCTGGAACATTTTTTAATACTTTCTTTTAAAGACATTTAAATAATTCAATTTAAATGCTCACCTATAAATTATTGCAAAAAAATTAAATAAAATCAACAATATTATTTGTTTCAGATGGGCGTACAAGACATTTTCAGCCCGGCAGCAAATTTCACTGGAATCACATCTAATGACTACTTACGAATAGGAAATATAATTCAAAATGCTAAAATAGAAGTTGACGAGGAGGGAACCATCGCTGCTGCGGTGACAGGTAATTATAAGCGTAATTTATTCGATTCCTTTCAATGCATTGCCACATATTGCAGTACACTGCCTTGCACATTGCTGTGCTAATTATGCTCATTAAATTGCAGAACTTGTGGTTGTACCACTCATGGCTAACATGGCGCCAACTTTCAGAGCAAACAGACCATTTATCTTTGCCATTGTTGATCTGGTAACAAGCGAGACTCTTTTCGCTGGTCGTTTCATGGGTCCTAATGCGGGCAATTCCAGAACAATTTAGAAATAAGCCTACTACTCATCTACAACTATTTTTGTAAACTATTTTTGTTTGTTTTAAAAAATGCTTAAGATATGCAGGATTATCACTTACAGGGTGAGACGCAATATGTCACATCAGTCGCAATACTTCACAAGTTTTTATAAGATAATTAAATGGTATGACATTTTGTGCCCCATCCTGGACATATACTGCTTTCTAAGACAAAAATGATTCTGTTACAACTACAGAATGATTGTTTACTTCTTTACATACAAATAAACAATGAATTGAAATAAATATGAAGTATATCGTATATCGTTTCATATATTATAATATTGCGACAATACACAAAATAAAAATATATTACAGAAACTGAATAAATTTACCAAGGTTGATTCACATAATTTGTTATTTATTTACATATCCAGAATATCTATTAAATAGATCTAACATATATTATCCCTAATATATCCCATTCAATTCTCGTACTTGTGTTTAATGTCCTTCCATTGTTTCTGAAAGAAGAAGCAGATATCTGTTATGCAATCAGTGTCGTATTTCCCTCAGATGTCAAAACGTAAATCAAAACGTTAACATGTTTTTCATCTCGTACAATAATTTACACATTATAATATACGACGTAAATTCTTTTATTATCTAATGGTTTTTCTTCCTTTTTTTCTTTTTTTTACAAAATTGTGTCATTACGTTATATTGAATATTTTCCGTGACATAACCTCATTTCAGCTCACTAACCTCAATTAGAGAACATTCGACATCGGGTGACGAATAAGGACGTGATATCGAAGAAAACGTAAGAACCGAAAGATCAGAAAGCACAAATAAAGACAGAAAACACAAGTGGACACTCACCCCTCTGTTAATAGCGTCAAAAATTTTCTCGGATGCCATATCGAATCCTCTTTCGAATGCGAAGGCAGAAGCTAAAACGACGATCGTGAACGTGGAAGTGCGTTTGAGAACGAGATTATATAGCGTGCCGCCTAATCCCATTTTTGTATTTTAATTTCTGCTTCTTGCAGAATTTTCGCTTGAGAAAAACAATTGTGATCTCGTCAGCGCAGAGAAAGCCGACGTGCTCCGACTGCTCCGAGCAATTTATTACGACTATAGGAGAATATAGTGCTTCCCTCTGTACCGGGAACCGGGATTCTCAAACACTTAACGACGATTGTCGGTGATTGTTGCGTTATTAGTTTTTCTGAAAATTAGTTTTTCTGAAAATTTTAGAGCTTTATTTCTACATATGTTTTTAAACCAGTTTTTAACCACTTTTTGTCAAGATTATGTGTATTATAAAATTTTCTTACACAGTATAGTATAGTACAACCTAAATTGAGATAATGCACAGTTTTCTGATAATTTAATTGAAACTGGTTCTATAACTGCAGTATTGGAACAAACTCTTGATCTAAAATAATAAAAGGTTCGAAAAAATAAAAAATGAAAATAACTTTAGTTTGAATAAATTTAATTTAAAATATTAAGAAATATAAATTATAATTATAACAAAAACAAATTGTAGTTTTATATATATATATATATATTTATACATTCCATCGATTAACTATAGAGATGGTGAAAGAACTCCGCAGATGTAATAACCCCCTCGAACCCCTCAATCTCTAGCGGTACCAATCTCTCTGGTACCAAATAATTAATGTCATGAGATGTAAAATATTTTTCATAAAAATTTGCTCATTAATATAACATTAGAACGTATAATTTCCCGTAATATCAAAATAAAGGATAGTAAAGGATAATATTGAGAAATAAATAACAAAATTGAATTTTGAAGAAACAAATAAATCTAAAAGCTACCTAAAATAAAGGACTGTCTTTTACAATAAAGGACGTATGGTCACCGTATGTACATATAAGCCATATAAGAAAAGGCTTCGCAACGATACCGACAATCGTCGTTAAGCGAGAATCCCGATACCGGTACTTTCCTTAGTACTGAGGAAGATGTGGCACACACAAAGAATATTCTTAAAAACCAATATATTTTACAGTTGGATAGAACTACTGCCGTTTGTGAGTATACAAGATTGTAATACATTAATTGATATTAATTTTGCAATATTTTATATTACGCGATTTTTATATAAATTTGTAATATATAATTAATACGTAATATAAAATACATAGTATAGTATAAAATAAATAGTATATAGTATATAATATGTATAAAAAACTCACAAAACTATTATTACAGCAAAAAAATGATGTATTAACGGCATTGTTTTATTGAAAACAATTTTATTAATTTAGTAATAATATTAATAAAACAAATAATATTTTATTAAATCGAGAGCATTTATTTCATTAATACTGCCATTGAATTAACAAGGTTAATTTATATTAGGAATTATTTCTGTTATTTGCTAATGTCATTAACATAACATCATTTTTTTCTGTGTATATAAAATCTAATCAAATGAAAAAGTGTCCATATTTAGCTTTATTTTGCATCATCAGTTATTTTTTACTTATTACCTAGCTATATGTATACAGATTCTTCTTATTGAAAATATGTCAGTATAATATAAATATAAATAATATAAATAATATAAATTATTGGAGATGTACATACGTAATAATAATAATCATCAAATTCTTTTCTCCACAAATTTTATTTAAATAATAATGCGTGATCTAGTTAGACCGAAGAATAATTCTAAATTCATTTTTAACTTTTTCATTGCTATTGTATGTATATACATTTTCTTACGCGCATCCTGCTAACTTATATTTCGTCAGCATATGCGATATATATGTAGGTATATTAAATATGTATTTAGTATGCTTGAGATGAGCCAACTGACGTCGTTACGATATGTCGTAATTCAACAATCGGTTGTGTCAGCGCGTTCCTATCGTTATATTCGACTTCTTTCTATCTCTTTCGACTGACTTGAAAATTCATTCATGACCGCGGCTATACACCAATTAATTGTATTTCGTGGATAATCGTGATATCTTCTATCGAGGAATATCGGGGAAGGGTAGAAATCAAGTATAAACGACAATGCTCGTACGTTTCCATATGTATATATACAAATATATTTATTTTACAAAATCTTACGTGAACTTATAACAAGAGATATTTTGCAACAATAACAACTAATATGCCCGGTAAAAAAATCTATATATAACCAAATATAAATACATATAACAAAATATAAAAGTGAATTTGCGATTACATTATACAATATTTCATATACAGGGTATGGAAGAACTGACACGATAAGTATATTTTAATAGAGTCTTTGTAACATCTTCAAATAAAAATTCTAATACGAAAATGTTAAAACTATAACAGTTTTCAAAGGGGAAGGAGTTTAGAGATTACAAATCACAGGGCTAGAATTTCGCACGTTGAGATACATCCTGTAGATAGGTAATTTCTTCTCATCTTACTCAAACTTCAGCTTTTATAAGTAAAAACAATGTGAAAAATGTTATCCTTCCAATTATTTTTTAATTTTTATTATTTTTTTCAGTATATACAAATGAAGATTATACAAAAAAACATATATGGATATATTTTATATAATATTTATATTTATATATATAGATCTTTTTTCTACGGGTGATAGGTACTATCAAAACGCTCGCACACTCGCTGTACACATCTCTCTGATCCCTTCGCATTTTTTTGTGCCCATCGATTATATCAATTCCAATTAAATTGAAATTCAATTAAATTATTATGCGTATTGTTTAGAAACAAGTGTGAACGAGGAAAAAAATTAGAAAAAAAGAATACAAGGATTATTTTATTTATTTTATGCAATTATTGAATAAATAAAGCGACCACGACTGTTTAATTAATTCGTGATCATCTTCTTTTAATTAATTTTTATGTAAATGTTTTAATCAGAGATCACAAATGTCGAAAGGAGTTACCGTGCAAGTGTTCATCGTCTGGCCCATTAGCTCAGTTGGTTAGAGCGTCGTGCTAATAACGCGAAGGTCGCGGGTTCGATCCCCTCATGGGCCAAACTTACTTTTTTTCACTTTGATCTCCGATCTCTTTTGCAATCTAACGACCCTTGTGATTTTAACGTTATCTCGGTAATATTAAAAAGTGAAAATATATAAAAGTAAACACCGTTTCTAATAATAAAGGTCGGTATCGATTAGTCGATTCTTATATTTAAGTCTTAAGGCGTTAGTACGGCTCGGTGAGATCTTAAGACTGTACTTACGTAATAAAACGTATTTTAAATATAAAAATCGATTATTAATTCCGGCCAGAATATTAACCCCCTTGCCCTTCGATGCCCTTCGATTCGATGATATCGAGGAACGTAGAAGTGCAAAGTAATTATCTTATTTACGATTTATTTATTCTCCGACAGAATTGAACGATTTGTTTATTTATTTATATAAGCTTTGCTCGATAAAATTCCGTCGTACGTTCTACAGACGATTATATATCGCTCCCAAATCCAAAGTCTTTCCCGGTTAACGTCCCAGTTAACGACTTGCATTCACTCGCAAAGTTCGGATAATACGCTGCTTTCAAGTGGCCGTCGCATCTCAATCTGTTCATTATGCATCGCCACATATACCCGCGCATTGCCATTACGGACGGGCACGCGGGCATCACGCATGATCGCGCACGCATGTATGCATTTTGTTGCGAATCTGCGCCGCAACCGTCAACAAAATACGCTTTCTCTCAGCTACCTGAGAGCCCTTTGGTTCGCTCGTTTTTAAGTTCATGCGCATATCTAAATACCTAACAATAAAAACAAAGTACGATATCATAAGCATAAATTATCAAATTAATGTAATATTCCTTTTTTTAAAATCTTCTCGCGAAACGATACTGTATACTCGCTGATTCCTTTTTTTTATATTCGTCGATACGATCGCACGAAAAAATGCTGATTCGTAAAATAAAAGTAGGTACGAACGACGACAGGAGAACATTATACTCGTGGACTTAAACGGATTGCGTAAAGCTGCAAGAAGTTCGCACGTTGACTCACTTTCGCTTCTGTGGTAATAATTTTTTCTGGCCATCGAGAAAAACAATTGTTTATACTTCAATCGTTATTCTGCCGAAATCAAAACCGATGCAAATTTCGTAAGTATTCAACGTTCGGAGAAATTATAAAGCTTAAAATTCAGTTGTTAGATAAAAATAATAGTTAAAAGAATAATAATTTGTCGTCTATTTCATCCATGAGATTTAAATGAGAGTTTTGTTAAAACATTTATATCCTTGAGATTTAAATGTTCTAGAGATATTGAATGCTTTTGAATATATTTATTAATTATAATCTTTATCAATTTATTAAAACAAATAATATAAAAGCGTTTTCAATTTAAATTAAAATTTTTGAAAAAGATGATAATAAAAGCCAAAAGATAACTAATAAAATTTTAAAATTATTCTAAAAATAAATATTTTTCAATAAAAATTTTTAAATGTATTATTTGTTTAATATGAAATGTTTATGGGGATAATTTTCTATTTAAAACTGTTAAGGCTTAGTATATCAGCAATATACTAAATAAGGTAATCAATAGCGTTCGTTGTAATTGAATAATATTGGAAAGTAACATCCAAAATCTGCGCCTGAAGACATTTTTCTTATCCTTTCAGTCTACCTCTAGCCAAAGCTGTATAAGACAATTCTTAACTAATTCGGCCAAAATAACAAATTATATGGTCTATATTTAATAGAATTTATAAACTCTATAACCACGGTTTAACTTAAGACAGAATATGCATCCACGAGTCAAGCTATACGAAATCATATCTATATTATTGTTTATAAATTGTTTATACATATATATATATATATATATATATATATATAGCAAATTTATTGAGCCTATAGTATTCTGTATATCGTTTGTTTGCTGCAACAACGACATAATTAAAAAAATTGTTAGAGTTGCTTACAGAAAAAGAACGGAAACACAAAGAAGATAAAGAAAGATCATATTTTCAAAAAGAAGATTCTTTTATTCCTCTCAATTAATTATTACACGAATTATTGCATCTTAAAGTTAATATAACATTTCAATAATTCAAAACATTAAAACTTATTTTCTGAAAAACTTTGTTTTCTGAGTTGCATTGTTGTTGTAGCAAATAAACGAGAGATATAATTCCATACTGTCGCGTTTTAATCTCGACAATTAAATGGTATGTCTTGTACGAAACGAGACATCGAATTTATAAATTCTTCTCTCAGATAATATCAGCTACTATAAATCTACATTGGACGCAAGATAACGCATACTTATAAATCTTACGTGCAATTTTATCTGTGCGAAGATCGTCGAAGTCCACAGAGAATACGATCGAACTCTGTTGTTGTTCTACTCTCCCTCTATCACACGTCGCTCATACATTACATTCCTGTTTCGCATTAGCCTGTTGTGTATGGGGTTAACGACATGGCTCTCCGCTAATTCTTCCATACCTTTCTAATGAAAGTTTCGCGCTTCTTTGAGAATCTAGTCGCCCCTCTTCCTTAAAAACACGAGATTATCACCCTCCACCGTTCGGTCCCGCATCTCAGGATGTATGTATCACCTGGATTTTTACGGGCCTTATCAGCTCCTACTATTTCTGTCACACTTTCGGATAAAGAAAATCGAAGAACGTGGATATAGCCGTCCAAGAGAGCCTCATAGCGATGTAAGCCAGTATGAGTTTCAGCGCTTGATGGCTCCAGTATAATCTATAATAAGAATTGTTCTTTATTCTGATTGCTGTTTTCATAATTAAACAAATGATATTAGATATATAATAGTTCTAATACAAATTTAATACATAGTTCTGAAATATATAATATTTCCAATTTTAAGCATATTTTTATAAAAAAAAAAGAAATGAACAAATATGGGAGTACAATCAAGTTTAAAAAACACTTTAAGCTCTATTTTTCTCTTAGAAATTAAGAGCAATTTGAAAATCAAAAATTAAAGATATGAAGCAAAAAAAAATTAATAAAAATGTGCATATCTCAATGCACAGTTTGTCGACAATAAATTAAATTTATCAAACATATATGATATTCCCATATTGTATGTATGATTTAAAAAAATTACAGTTTAGATACAAATGTTTCAGCATTTAAATATTGTAAAAAGAAATTAGAGCAGGTGAGAAGGTTAATGAAAATTTTTCAGTTTGTTATCAAAATATTGAATATAGAAATTATAGAAAAATATAGAGATATACCAAGTATAGAAATACCAGGTATAGAACAATACCAAGTATAGAAAAACCAATACTTTGAAAATTGCATACCTTTGCCATTTAACACGTGCCTGCGGCAAGGTATCTAAAGGATCCTTAATGAGATATATCCTTATACCGCGAATATATGTCTCAAAGTAAGTATTCCAGTCGACATCTCGTATGTCGAAATAGAATTTTTCGCGATCTTTGAACGTGAGTTTCTCCATCAGCTCGTGTAGCCGGTCATTAGTAAATTTCCATTCTTGCGTTGCAAAGTAATTCAGCACATCCATAAACTTGTGTATCTTCTTGTAAACCTTAAGTAACCTTCAATACACAATCTGTGTTAAATAGTGACCCACATAAAAAGTAAAAAAGTGGAAAGCAATTCGCTCTTTTATGATCATTCTAAATCACGCGAGATTATTCTAAATTGTTTATCTGTACATTATTTAAATTTTAAAATCTATTATATTATTATGTAATTTTAAAAATTATTTTTTGAAATATTTTATTGAATTAAAAAAAATCAAATTTGTTCTTTAATAGTGTTACTAATTTATATTTTTCTTTAAAGGAAAAAAACTATGTAGGTAAGACTACTGAGATGACCTCATCGATTTTAATGACCTTGACATACTTTGTTGTCAAGGAGGTGATTCGATCTGACTTTGTAAAAAGTCACTTGTAATTAAAAAGTCATTAAATGAATCACAGAAAATGAATCGTATATTGAGTGATATAAATTATACTTTACCCAGTACAAATTCGATAATTATTTGTATATACATATACATATATACATAAATAAATGCTTGAGCAAGAAAGGAAAGCAATTCTTCCAAGAGACGGTGATCGTCTCATTGTTAGGCAGTTTTAATAATTTTTTTTTAAGAGAAATGCAAATTAAAAACAGTATTAAAAAATAAATTTCTTAAATTCCAGAAAATTCACTTCTTCCCACCTAAGTATTTACTTATATATACTGTATATGTAAAAACAGCATATACGTAGATCGGAAGAGCACACGT